ACAGATAGATGTACCGTGAATATGGAGCCGCATTCAGTCTCAGATCTGGAGTGTATTTCTCTACTCAAATGTGATCTTGCTGCCGGTACTGACGACCTTCCGCCTGCTCTTTTCAAGAATGACGGTAGACTTCTCAGCCAGTGGCTGCCTAGCCTATTCGGATCATCATCAGTAGTGCCGTGTCAAGCAGAACACACCGATATCTGAAATATCGTTCCGACAGAGGAATACGATTGGAAAATATTATGAACAAAAAACCCTGTTAGGCTCCATCTTGCTCCAATTTAGCTACAAGATAATGTCTTGGTGTTGAGTTACTTCTCAAAATCCGACTGATTGAGTCACTAGTTCTTTTTGCAAAAACGACAACTAACGAGCAAGTTGTCTTTGACTCTTAACAGTTGCATAGTTGAAATGGCAAAAGGTAGATGATAAGGTCCAACACTGTAGGCACTTTGTATGGACAACCAACTGACCAGTAGACGGAAAGGTCAACCAATTAATTGGACGTCACATCTGTGCCCCTGGTACTGTGCGTGTCGCTCTGTGTGTGTGTGTGTGTGTCTGTCGTGTGGCATCACTGGACCAAAGCAAGCTGAGCACTGGTGCAGAGCGGTTTTGGCGACACAAGGCTGGATTGCGTAAGCGTATTACAGCAGCCTCAGCCGTTGCCAAGCAACGCTTTTGTTTCCATTTCGCTGGTTTCTACTGAACCAATGAGATGACGTAAAACACACTGATAGGGTAGAAAGCATGGCCTGTGTGGACCAAGTGTGACCAGGGTACTTCTGATTGACCTGGTGACCCTGCTTGTAATCCAAAGAGAGATCCGGTCTTGTATCGTCCTCAGTTGTTCAGCCGAAAACAGTCCACTACAGCTGCAACTCTACCTATGTTCTGGATGTGAACATGCATCCCACCTTGGAGTTTCAAGTGGGCAATTCTCTTGCGCCAGCGTCGCGGAGTCGTTGTTGCAAAAGACCTACAAAGCTGACTCTGACCAGCACTGCAGACTTCTGTCTGTCATGGTGATTGGACGAACTGATTTTTGCTCCAAGCTTTTGGGATATTCAGCTCGTCTCAACACGTTGGTGATGAGTGTCAGTTCCTTTTCGAGAGCTTGGACAAAGCAAATTCCTATTTGTTGATTCGTACGCGTCAGAGTTCGCGTTTGTCTCGGTAGTACGAAGTTGCTAAAGTTCATGTACCAACCATCCCAGGTCGGCATTTTTCTATCGGTTCAAATTGTCAGTTTTCCCGCTTTCAGCTTGACTGAATTTAGACGTGTCATTATGTGTGTCATTGCATTATGGTCAGTCGCCTCAACTATCCCCTTCGGGCTTTTCCGATCCTTAGTTTGTTCGCTGAGCTGGGTAGTTTGATTGCACGCGTTTCAACACCGATCGAGGTGGCATTGTGAATGTGTTTTGTTAGTGAGTGGAGTGGAGGGTAGCCGTGAGTTAGTGGTTATGACTTGAGTGGCACGTGTGTGTTGCTAGCAGGGCCTACCATTCGGCTCCTATTGGTTGTTCGATCGGGCGGTTCTATTGGTTGGTTTGTTATCCGGTGTCCTGTTTAGTCGGTGGCCACGCGATCGTTCTTTGAGCTTGACCTCTCCTGCTCCCTAGTCGGCGGCCTCTGTCCTCTTGGTCCTGCCTCATGACCTTGGTTGATATTAGCTCCTTCCCAGCTTGTTATTTCGATGATTGGCTCTCTTAGAGAATTCAGACCGAGGGTTGGCCATGCTCAAAGGTTAGTCCCGACGAGCAAGCAGCACATTCCTGAACGCACGCACAGCTATTCAACGTACAACCACTGACGCACAATTCTCCTCCGTAACGAGACACTGATAGTGCCACCTCAGGTGGCGAGGAAACATTTGTAGGCAAATCGCCCAGATCAGTGAACAAACGAATGGTGTAGGCAAATCGCCCAGATCAGTGAACAAACTAACGGTAATCTGCGCTGTCTGTACTACCGAGATTATTCCAACATCATCTCATTCAGATCGCTTTCAGGGCTTCCAAATCCCCTTTACTCGAAGGGTCCTTATCTAGTGTCATTACCGTAGTTCACGATTTGCGCCACGTAAGGCAACTTAGACGTAACAGCTTCAGTGAGCAAGTAAGCTCTGTTATCTACTCAGACCATGTGCAATAACTATTCAGTTTCCTTTTGACAACACATATGACAGACAAACAGATCATGTTCCCATGGTGAAACTCTGAGCTGTATACTAACAGACATCTTCATGGGTTATTTCGAACGGCTTTGTAATCAATATGGGACTGTCGATGGGTTTTTTTCTATATTCTCCACATTACACCCAACTTCTAGTTATATTTCACCCCATCAGTAGCTGACTTTCCCATATCCATTTACCACTAGCGTGATATCACATGCTTTTACTTGGTAATTCACTCCTCCTAAACTTCCTGGTCCACGTGACACAAACCATTAGACTTGCGCATATGCCATTTCCGATAGAATGTATGTATCATCATCACACACCGATCGAAATGTCTTTGTGTGAGGCGTTCGGCGCAGTGACACTGGTGTTAATGTGAATCCTTTCATTCCCTATGCACCATGTCGTCTGTAAACAATTGTTGCGTCTCTAATTCCGACTGAATTGTGCGACTGACGGATGGGCAAACTGAATACCGTTTAACATCAGTTGATTCCTTCCATCACACACATTTGCAAACATCGTTTTCACTCTTTTCCGAAGTTTTATTCGGCATGCACATATCATCTGTCCAGACAATCGGCCCCCAATTGTTCACCTAACTTGTCGTGTATTTCCACGCTGTATACTTCCGATGGCACTGTCTATGCTGTAGTGGTGTGCACCTAAGTATCGGAGACGTGTTTCGCACGAACGGTAACCTTATTGGCACCCACTAAAGTTCATCTGGTGAGCCATCTGTGAGATCTTTGAAAGTGGATTTTGCTCAGATATTTGATAAAAAAAATCGTCAGATTGAAGAATAGTCTTGTGATCACACACACATAAAGAGTGACAATTGAACTCGGCAGCTTACCATGTCACAAACTAGTGGCTTTGGCTCGTAACTTGATGTTTTCTTTCGAAGTACCCTGTTAGCATATTCATATTTATGGTATCATTAATCCCGCTTTTACTCGGTGTATCGATCACTTTTGAACTGTTATACCCCAATGAATCGGGGGGAATTCGACCAAGCATGGTGCATATCCAGAAATGGAGCGATTCGGAGAGGTAGAGCTACGCTGCACCGGAGTCCGCTTTATGATTTCGTTTAAACGAGAATCCATCATCAACCCAATGACTATGCCGTCTTAGTGTTTAGTTGATTCTAACCGCCTTGTCATCAGATACTTCGCATAGCCATGGGCCGCTGTCCTACTGGTCACGATACAATCGTGCTCGGTAGCGAAGCAACATTGTTGAAAACTGATTTCATGCTGTCGGCGATGATGATGACGATGTGCTCATCTTCCACTTGATCGAAATAATCCTTGTTGTCAAATGCCTGTCGTCTTTTTAGCGAACCAATGGCCAGGAGTTGAGTGGAGTCTGTATAACCCGATTTGACAGCGTGACTCTTTGTCTATGTGTTGGTTATACTTAACCAACCATTGAGTGTATATATTCTCATTTTTCTGTAGAAGTCTACTGACAGTACGTTGCGCTGGTTATTCCTGTCGTTTGTTAGGAATCACGGGTGCATTCTGAAACGGACGTGCCAATAGGACATCTGCCGTCCATCGGTCTTAGCCAGACCAGTTGAAAAGTCTTTCCTTCTTACTCACAGGGTTGCTAAAAACTCTGCTGTTTTTTTCCAGCAGACACTGCTTTGACTATAGTCAATCTTTGTGTGCTTTCCACTTTGATATGTCTGTGAGCTTATCCACACTGATGAAATGGGTTCCCGTGAATCACTCGTCCTTGCGCACCTATAATGCAGTGGGTCTAAGAAGCCTTTGTTGGGTTCATTGATCCTCATCTTCCACTGTTCATCTGCCGTGGAGAAATCAAGGTTATTTCAAAAGACTTTTTCGAAATCAGTTTCTCCAAAAGCTGACCCACAGTGTTGCCTTTGTTGGGGCACAGTGGGAATCCCATCTGAACGCCACTACCAATCAGTCGGACCCAATCTGATGGTGGATAGAATACAAGCCAATGAGGTAATGCGTACAAAAGATGTGTTTTGAGCCATATATGTGATACAACTCACCTGTTTCTCGAACACATTCTCGTCACCGTTGATCCCGACCAGCAGTTCCTAGTCCATTGTATTTTAGAAAATACACAGATCCCTCCATTATAGTGGATCGGTCTTCCGAATGTGACACACGCTTACCTCCAGTAATCAGAGACCATACGCGGGACGCTCTATCTCGCTGATTCCTTTTTGCGTTTGACTGGCTTAGTTGACTCTCGAGAAGCGAATGCACTGAAGTTTAAGGGATCCTAACCAGAACATCAAACTGGTAACCATGTGTAAATTTCCGGCTAGTTCCTATATCCGCCCCTACAGACTGTCATGTTGGCATTCAGTGTTCAGTTGCGTAACACTCGTTTACGACTAAATCAGCATCATTTTTGGTGGTGACTCAGAATGTAAAATATAAAACTTGATTCTAAAGGTGATCCGAACATCGCAGAGTAGAGCTATTATGGGACTTTAGAAGGACTGAAACAACGGAAGGCAGGGCACGCTATGGCACCATTGGCTGGTGAGCTACAACACATCATCCACTGTTTGGTGCGGTGGTGGGGTTCGGTAGAGGGTTAAAAGCCTAAAAAAAATCTCGCCCAATGGTTAGGCTCGGTAAATCTGTATCGGATGGTGACCGCTGGTAGGTTAACATGGAACTGTGTAACCCTGGCCGATCTAGCTTGGCATGAGTAGGTAGAAGTAAACGCCGTGGGAAGCCAGAATAAGCCTATTCAGCGTGCATATTCCTCTGTTTTTTTAGACTACTCATTCGTGTCTTCCCCTGTGTCATTTCAGTGTCTGGCACCTCTTCATCCGCTGCCACACAACCGTGGGGTTTTGAACTGCAATAGCGCAGCCACCACCACCAGTCGGGACCCGTTCGCGTTCACACAGCCAAATTCTCGAGCTGCGGTTCCTCAACAAGCGGACGTGATTCAACGACTGTCGACAGTTTTCTCCGTCTCTGCCCCCAACATCCACATTGAGCATCGTGATGCCATTTCCAACGTGTTACCGACCACGACCATAGCTACTACATTGACCACCGATCCTTCGTTGGGTACAAATCTCTCAAGCTGCGATCCAGCCGATTTGGACCGCTTTTTGCAACTACCTCCGGCGTTCTTGGACCCACAGAGCGATTCTAATTGGCGTAAGTGAACGACTTGTTCTACATATATGGTTATGATCACCATTATTCGAAGCGAGATCCGCATTTGTTGGTTTCGCCTTATGGCCTTAGACTCACCAGCCGAACTTGAACTTCACATGATGACCAAACAGCGGTTTAGTGGAGTTACACAGGGTGAACTAGAAAGTTCGACCGACATGATGCAACACAAGTATTCTGATCAGCTTTCTAAAGTCTATGGAAGCTCGCTTCAGCCGCAAGATTCGTCTTTCTGCTCGATATTCCCTGTCTTGTACCGTCAGTATCAAGGTAGTGTGATCACTGTTGAGCGGAATACTGTCTTTGACAGAGCAGTCGCGGTGGAATATTGAGTGCAGTTGGTATTTTTTGGAAATACCAGTTCAAAGATTAACTGTGACCCCCATAAAGAATCACTGTTGACCGGTCCCTTGAAATTAACTTTGAGAACGAGTACAGAATTCTTGTGTCCAATCGCTTCAGGTATTTACCCAAAGTGGGGATCAACTGTGCATAACGTAGCTTCCCCGTTACGACTGAACGAATGACAAATTGCTAGCACCAACCTAGTCAGCCACAGGGATATGCCTGATAATGTTAAGGACTCGTTTTGTGAAGAAACGCTCCTGTCTACCCACTGGTTCGAGTCACATCATCATCATCATCATCATCACCAATGACAGCAACATCAGCGTTGGCACTGATGCTTCACTGCCGTAAGTTCGAGTCACACGATTCAGTGTAGCATCACATGAAACATCACGCGCCAGAGTAGTTGTCTGATGTCGCGGCCTATTCCGAACTATGGGTACCGGAACTCCAAAAGCCATAACCCCCAGTCGGTCTTTCCGCTGACTTACTATTGTTTATCCGAAATGTGTTTTTTACTTCATCATTTTTCCCACGCCAATAATGATGGTTTCGGTGTATTTCTCTTGAACATGTGTGTGATAGAATCACGTGATACATGCTGCAATGTAAGGTGAAGGTCATTGCGACGAACAGAAAGTGTGCTCCGAAATTTTGAAGCTTGTCTCTCTCTCTCTCTCTCGGGCGAAACAGGAGATTCTTTTGCTCTGGCGCTCTCATCACCTATTGGAATACATTAGTTTGAACCAGGATGATCTTTAAATACCATCTGATCAATAGACAGGTAAATAAACAAAGGCGTAAATTGCGTAAATGGAAGAACTAACGACTCGTCTCAATGTAAGTCACGCATACCTGGGTATGATGTGCTATCAGCAGTGCATGTTAGGCTTGCACCTTTTACTAACCCCCTGCGTAACGCCACAACATGTCGTCAACCACAAGACCTGGAGCCGAAGCTATAAATTCCGTCTAAGCAACGTCAGCACGCTTGTAAATGGGAATGATCTCAAATTATCCTGGCACGGTTTCTAACCAGGAGGGTGATAAGACCCCAATTTGCGCACTTTGTCAGTGAGCGGCCCAGACTCTATGGTGTTACTAAATCACACCGTAATTCTACGTCAGTGAGGACAAAGATAAGAGATACGACTTTGCTTAAGAATCAAGTGACTTAGTTATTTTTAGGATTGATGTCTGTGGTGCTTCTTTCAACCGGTTAGGGATGGTGAAGCCTATGTCAGTGACGCATAGTCATGCCAAGTGAATTTCATCACAGGTTCGTATTCCGTGTTGCTCGTATCATCCAGGGGCGGCCGTCGGACCTCCTCAGTTTTCGCTGTTTCTGTTCCCTAACGTGTAAAATACACTGAAGCACCTCTATGTCGACCAGCTCTCTGCAGTGACTGCCACTAGTCGATCTTGTTAGCGCCCTTAGAGAGGCAGCCATAGAAAGTTGGACCCCAGTTTAGGATTTACACCATTCCTTCCTTGAACATAGAGATTGGATCCAAATTCAACGACAAGCTAGATTTGACTTCATCGAAATTTCCCCTACAGGATCCAGCCGTCTGGATGCGCCATTTTCCACTCGGTCTCTGTAGAAGAGTTTTGCTGTTTGTAGTGTTAGTATGAAAAAACTTTGAAGTAGTCTGTTCATCTGAGAAGTCGCCACGCAATGGGCCAGTCGATACCCCTTACCTTTCGATGTAGATTTATTGATTGAAGAGTCCTATCTGCGTGCAACTAAATCGTGTTGCTCAGCCGATTGTAAATCGTTCAGCTGTAGCACCCTTTCGGTGCCTAGCTGCCATGCCACACGAAGGAGGCACGAGTGCTGGGATACTTCCAGGTCGCCCAAGCCTAGACAGGGGAAGTCGAGAGGCAGAGGTGGTGTGGCCGAGTGCGATAATCAGCAGCTGATTGAAAAGCGGCAGGTTGGGATCATCCTATTGTCCATGGGAATTGCGTTGTTGATGGTTCCCAATACAGAGGAAATAGTACTTCTAAATGTTTCAGCATCGACTTGGTTTTAGTGTAGTCTGTAAGCAACGGTTTTTGAACTCATGCTGTAGCCGTCAAATCCCTCGTTCACAGAGCAACCAGTTTTCGCACTCATTATCACACTATGCACCGGTTTTTTTAGTATAAACTAACGCTCTCAGCAAGCGTATCGTGGAGAGCTCCACTTAGCTCAGGTTTTTACGAGCAAAACTGAAGCCACCAAAGCATTAGTAGCCCAAGTTCACTTCTCATTTCCGCATCATTGGGCATCTTTCTATCCTGTACTGATTTCCGACTGCCTGGCAGTAATGCACCACAAGAGCACCACAGTCTAAGATCTGTTTTGCAACGGTTTTTGAACTCATGCTGTAGCCGTCAAATCCCTCGTTCACAGAGCAACCAGTTTTCGCACTCATTATCACACTATGCACCGGTTTTTTTAGTATAAACTAACGCTCTCAGCAAGCGTATCGTGGAGAGCTCCACTCAGCTCAGGTTTTTACGAGCAAAACTGAAGCCACCAAAGCATTAGTAGCCCAAGTTCACTTCTCATTTCCGCTTCATTGGGCATCTTTCTATCCTGTACTGATTTCCGACTGCCTGGCAGTAATGCACCGCAAGAGTACCACAGTATAACGACCTGCTTTTTCTCTACTCATGACAATCATTGATTCGCCACATCAAAGTAGTTGGATCTAATTTAGCCAAAGCTACTCCGGAATTCAGTCTGAGAGTAGCTGCATGCCATTCTTGCACGTTATCGGCGAGAAGTGTGTGAATCCACAGGCAGAATCATTGGGATGGGCGCACGTCCTCCTTAATTACTGAGTGCCACAATAGTCTGTGTGCTGTTTGGACTTATTTCATCATCATTATCATCAACGTCATCATCATCATTGTCAGCTATCATCATCATCGTCATTGTCAGCTGTAAGAACCGATTTAGCATTCCTGGTCTTTGCGAAATTGTTCAACTCGCATCGAGAGGTGGAACGGGAATAAGGGACTTTTAGAATATCGCCATACAGGTGCACACTGACTGCTGTGATTGTTGGGTTGGAGTGCTGTAGTGACTCCGCGATCTACACTGGCCGGAATTCCGTTCGACCAGGTGCAACTGCCTTAGGGAGGCTAAATGGGATCAGCTGGACGAAGAACAGCGAGTCCTTCTACTGGGAATAACCGTAATACGAGGCGGTGTGGATGTAAATTCGCATTGTCCTCTTCAATGGGAGTGTGGACGCAGTAAGGTGTTTCCTTCAGGTGACCAGCACATCGATATTCATGAAAACAGCAATATATCCTTCTCACGAGGAAGGACGGGCCCAGTAACTGCACCCAACGCCTGATTGTGACTACCGTCCAATTATCCGAGATGGTCTAGACGTATTCAAGACCTACCAAGGGCCCGAAATGGCCCCACGTGCATCTTCTATGCGCAGTAACATCAAGAGTGAGACATCTGTTCCTTATTCCCCCCTCCCCCTTCGGATAGGCGCCTCTCGCAGCAGCTAAACGTGTCAGTCTCTTGAATCAGTGACTCTGGACAGAGTTTCCTAACCCGAATACCCGCTGCTTTGTGAGTCAGGCTTACCGGATAATTAATCCTACATTCACCCATTCCCTTTTTGATCAAAGACTAGAGATGAGGGTACCCCAAGCAAACTCTCTTCCTTGGCCTAGTAAAATGTAAAATAAATGGTTCAGCTCCAACACCCTTTCGGTGCCTAGCCGCCGTGCTACTCGAAGGAAGCACGAGGGCTGGGATACTGCCAGTTTGCCCAAGACTAGATAGGAGAAGTCGAGAGATAGAGGTCAGATTCTAACCACGGGCCTTTCATGGCTTGGGAACCCGGGAAGTATCATTCGTTCCCTGACCCTCTGCCACCTTCCCCGCCCATCAAACGCTGCATTCTGACAGTCTCCTCACCATTTTTCCGTGTCTCCCCTATCGCCTAGCAAAATAAACCAAAATAATCCTATACTTAACTCAGAAGATCAGATCCACGTTGCAGCTTTCAATGTCCGTACTTTCTATCAGATTATGAAACCTTGCTTCCACTTTCTCCGGATATATGTTGCCTTCGAAACGCGCGTACAAGTCCTCACTTCAGTTGTGCATCTCAAGCCGTTTTACACAAGCTCACATATTTCAAATTTCACTTCATTTATCCAGTTATCCTTATTCAGTGGGTGTGGGAGTTGCGCTCAGCCTCATGGCTGAGAGCACTGGATCTCATCGTAGAAAACAGTCATCTTTTCACTGAACGGTTGTCTGGTTCAATTAAGATCAATTTAGCTAGATGCTATTAACGGTCTCTATTTGTGTCAGACTTCTGTTCCGAAGCTGAGGCAGATAGGTTTCATTGACTAACTGCTCTTGTCAGCAACAAGAATGGATATGATCATCCTGGTGGTGAAACGCACGCCTAAGTTGGACGAATGACCCCCCGAAGAGGTATAGTCGAGTGGTAGATTCGGTTTCAAAGCTCAGCATATGGATAAAGGAAGGTGACTTCTTCACTTCTGTGCTGACCGCTGTCTGTTCCGGACCAGTACAAACTTTCAGCACGAGTGCTCAGGCCACCAATCACGGACCCGATCGAATAATGTGATCGTCACTTACTGGTGGAGAACCTCAATAGAAGGTTGCCGTACCTGCCTGTGTACACCTGTTGGTGTACATAACTTGATTCTAATCAGCCCATTTTCCCGAAAGAGTTATCGAACTGCTTCTCTCGTGAGTAAACAGGTCGAAGCAAGGCGAATTAACTGGGTTTCAGTATTAATATCGTGACTTGGTCTGTCGGAGAAGCTACTGGAGACGCACAGTGGTGCTGTTGATAAAGACTAGTTGGAGGTTGAATGGAACCTATGCTCTCACCTTTCAAGCCGTTTGGCACCTGGCTCGACCAAGCGAACCGTTGGTTTCATCGGGATCAGATCTTGTTGATGCCAGCAAGAAGTCCAGCCCGATATATAATTCCTCCAACCCGACAAGGTACCGAACTCGGATGGTCTGTACGCCCCTGGACTTCTAAAACAACTGGTAAAACCCGGCGGAATAGTCTGACGATCCTACTACAAAATATATGGTTCGAAATCTTGGTGGGGTGGGAATTCGAATAGTCCGCACTTTGTTGAGACTCTGGTGGCCAATGGAAATCATTATGACTTAAGAAATACGGCTACTCTAACAATACCGTATTAGAGATTCCCGCCAGTTGCATAAACTTCCCCTGAATGTGAGTTCTGGAGCATTGAGCCAACTTGTTGTTTTCTGCAAAATAATCATACAAAGTAATAATAATACGTAGTAGGTTCTCAATGAAGTTAGGAAAACACTTGCTTCATTTCTGGTGCTACGTAGAAAGATAAGCGAGCCTGTCTGAACGCAACCCGACTGGAACTAACGAGGACACATTCACAGTCATATAGGGGTCGAGATGGCTCAGTGGTTAGAGCGCGAATTTACCACGGACCGGAAGGCCCGTGGTTCGAATCCGACCTCTGCCTCCCAACTTCTTCTGTCTAGGCTTGGATAACCTTGCAGTATCCCAGCCCTCGTGCTCCCCTCGGGTGGCATGTCAGCTAGGCACCGAACGGGTGCTAGAGCTGAATGATTATCGGCTGTTGGCTCAGTGTCACGCATCTCGCGACGAGCTGCGATTCTGGAGTAGTCACAGACTTAGCTGATGCAACTAGTGTCGTATAGACTACTTGTTTCAGAAGCGAGACGGCCAAACTACATAAGAGCCTGGAGGATGTAAGGCATAAACTTCTGGTGCGAGTTCCAACGTGGTTTAACACGAATTTGGAAATTTTACCGCAATATCTCTAATTTATTTACGCCAAACGGATTTAAAGACGTTGAAATATGAACTTGACATTCAGACCTACTGGTGCCACCATGCTCACCGGATCACAAATTATCATTAAATGCGTGAGTTTTGATCGCTTCGTTAGCTGTCCAGGTACCGTTCCCAATCATTATATTTAGCTGTTTGTGGCTGCGGGATTTGTAGAAGGCACATTCGTTTGAAAAATCGTTCTCCTGTCTTAGCACAATCATTCTGGTGAGTCTACCTTGAAGGGGGAAAACACTTAATTCGATTTTCGCTCTTATTGGAGCTCATCATCCTTGGTAGTGAAGAGGTTCGAACTCCGCACAACTGGCATGCCAGGCGAGCGTGTTACCATTACTCGACCAATGCATGCTGAACACATCTGAATTTTGACGTTCGAACAGGTGAACGTGTCCGCGCTTGAGCGAGGCAAATGGAAAGTCCGACGCCTTATTCACTACAAACAACTGCTGGTTAGCCGTCCACTATGCGCTTCATTAGACCGAAGCCATCATACGAAAGCACTTCTTTCACCATCATCTCGTTCAGCTGTAGCACCCTTTCCGTGCCTATCCGCCATGCAACCAGAAGGAAGCACGAGGGCTGGGATACTGCCAGGTTGCCCAAGCCTAGACAGGCGAAGTCGAGAGGCTGAGGTCCTTCCGGTCAGTAAATTCGCGTTCTAGCCACTGAGCCATCTCGCCTTGTCTGACCATCTTAAAACACCATAAACGAGAGATTCATCTGGGTTGCAGGTGAGTGTCCCGTCGAAACCAAATTGGTATGCAACTGAGTGTGTCTTTCGCTGATTCTGTGCAATTTAGGTTCGAGTGGAATGTGAAGTTGACGGAATCTGGGGGGACTGCGCCTACCTGATGAGCCCTATGAAAGACATCAGGCTGTCGAATAGCTTTCAGCAACCTCGTGCGTAGTGTGTTATGTCCACACCTCTTCCACCTGTTTTTAAAGCCCAGGGATTTCATTTTCAATGTCATAGATTTTTAGAAATTCAATACGTCGGCTTTCGTTGTCAGTTTGTCAATCTCTTAACTCTTTTCGCCAACCGCACCAGTTGTTGCTAGTTGCTCGTAAACTTTTCGTCAATGTGAGCATGCACTTTAATCGCCGGTATTTCAAAGTTCTGAGTAGTAATCTTTGATAGCCGAATTTTTCTGCAGGATGCTGGCCAAGAAAACAATGTACTTGACTTAGTTGTGCTAGCCGATATGCACTCGCTTTGTTGTAACATGGATTGCCCTCGGTGATGTACTACAACAAAGAGATACGTGAGTTATTCAAACAGCGTTGCGCACTGATTAGCGAATCAGCCAATATAAAGATGGGTACGTATATCAAGGTAAGCAGGCTCACGCTGACTGTTGTCACGTGCCATTAAGTATGGGGCTAAATGAGAGCCTGTAAACATATTGTCACACATAGGCAACGTGAACACCGGCGTGGATATTTTGCTTCTGCATGGAAGCATGTAAACAATTCGCAAACAGTGGTGCTTTTGTAGGAAACTGGATGTCGTTATTGTCCCCCGGGTTCGCCATCCAATCCAACAAACCTATCGTTCCATCGTTATTGGCATCACTCGCACCATACTTAGCTCTTTCATCGCTCGTTGACTGGTGGTTGGTCGGAGATATTCATGAGCTAAGCTACTGACCGGAAAGTCTCTGTTTCAAACCCAACCCTGACTTTTTC